TCTCCTGCCTATTATATAGCAAATCATATATTTTGCATATACATAAGTGCAAAAAATTATTATATGAAAAGTATAAGAATATAAGATTTAGACTTATGTAATCTTCATTTTATGTAATCTTCATTTTACTATTTTAGTTGTATAAGTTAACTAAATTACTTCGTATGATAGTCTTTTTAAAGATAAATGTAATTTCGTCTATATATTTGCCAGCAATATCGAGACTAAAACTATCTATCAAACCTCATGTTATGAATGACCCTCGTATATTTAAGCAAATTAAATCGTCTCAGAAACTAAAACTCGATTCGCTTCCAAAGCTGCACAGAGTTTTGCATTGTTTAGCAAAAGTCAGGGGTAGGAACCAGAAAGAGCTTGTGGACTTTGTGATTGAGGGATTGCAGGTTGCAGGGATGGTATGAGGTAGTAGATGAGGGGGGCCATAGTTATGAAAAGGCGTCATAGAGTGTGTCAAGTCAAATATGTGCGCTATCCGCTATCTAGATTAACGGCAACTGTACAGATTTGAAATTCAAATCCCGAACTGTTGTTGAAAGCGTCGCGTATTTGAATTTTCCCTTTTGTGTGGCAGCGACGGCAGAGGCCTTTGCCTAAAGTTAGGCAAATGTATTTACATTTTAGAAAAACGCACAAAGATACTTTTTAGTGGCAAATGCAGGGTGGCAGCGCGCCAGCCGTAGTCGAGGTCGTTCTCTAGATGTTTACCCTGAGATATGGCATACGTAACGTCAAATGCGACGGAAAAAAAAAATAACAAAACCGAAAAGGGGGAACTCTGGCTATGGCAGAGGGATAGCCAAAGCAATAATCATAATACATATATACACAGATACAGATACAGATACATAGCAGCAGATACAGATACAGTGCGACAGCAGCAGAGCAAAAATAATATTAATGAGCAAGTTTTTGATTACGCGGCCATTAGCCGAATTTGGGAGTTTTTGAATTTGAATTCAAAAAAATATGGGAAGTCTCATAACGGAGGCAGAGGCAGAGGCAGACGCAGCAGCAGAGCCAGCGACTGTGGCAACCGCTGGTGGCAAGGGCCTGGGGCGTCTTTTGTATATGCGTTGCGTATTGTTTCATCGATGCGATTCGGTTTTATTGTCTACAATATTTATTTATTTTCCTTTCTTATTGTTGCTGTTGATTCTCTTGCGCATTTGGCCGCAGCTTGGCTGAGCTTCAATCTGAATCCTGATCTCAAGCTCTCGACAAAGGTTAACTGATTGGTAGAATCTGTTTGCAAAGCAGAGACACCCTCGTGCCGGGGGTTGTTCCCTGTGGTGGGGGTTGCTTCAACCTAACATTAATGTAACAACACATTAAAGCACCGCCAAAGGATGTGCGAATCGGCCTGGGCGAAAAGTGGGCGTTACTTCGATGCAAGCCCTAAGCAAATTATCATATTGGCAGATTGAGTTGTTGCGCACGAACGAACAGCGGGGGGAAGAGCATCATTAACAATATACGTAACTACAAGGCAAGGCAAGAATGCTTCAATGGGAAGTACATGACTAGTAATTGCCCTGAGTGAAAGAAAATTTGTGAACTAGTTCGAATTTGATATCGATAAAAATCGAGTTTTTGGTATTAAATTATCAATGGAAAATGAACTACATAACTTAACTTTTTGATTCAAGTTTCTGAACTGTATATATGACTAGAAATTACCCTGAGTTGAAGTGAATCTCCACTTGGAGTTTTTACTTCTAATTTGATATCGATAACAATCGATTTCATAGAATCTATTAACTTATCATTGATGAACAATAAGCTATGACAAGACATACTCCTTCTGATATCATAGTCTCTAAAGAATATGTTATAAATTTCATATCAAGATATAAAGATAGGGCTCAACTCTAGCTCTTTCTCATCAGTCATGTATTGTATGTATATATTCTCTCTTATCTATTACCTCTTACACACAGTTCAACATATGCATTAACCTCTTTCGGACTCACATAAAATAAAGAGAATTGAACTTAACTGGAAACTAGGCAAGCAGAAACATTTAATTTGGAATAGATGGCGTTACTTAGGATTGACATTAGTAATATTTATTGCGTTTTGTTTCCCCAGCTGGCAAATTAGTCAGCGCAGTTCAATTGAATATATATATATGTACAATATATACATATAGACGCTCCAAATTTGTCTCTTTTTCTTTTATCTATACTAAATTCTTGAGAAGCTGTTGGTGCTTTACTTTGACTATGTACATATGTTATGTATTTGAATTGCTGACATTGATGATGTCAACAATATATAAATAAATGCGCTTCCATATTAGGAAATAGCTTAGCAGTTAGACTTGACAAATTTAAATAAATTATATTTTGTGGAATTCGAGTAACATATGTGACGCTTAGTAGATGAGTAAATGAGCTGTCGAATGACTAAGTCGGCTAGATGAGGCAGCTAAATTTAGAAGATTGTGGGCTGAAATTTGCAGTATAATTAATAATAATAATAATAATGATAGGGGAAATTGTAATTAGTATGAAACTATGAATATGAAAATAAAATAGACTAAATGATTATTTATAATGCTAATGCTATACTTATACTAATATTTATGATAAAGAATAATAAACATTCGCTAGCAACTCATGGTAATATTAAAGCAAATATGAATTCTAATGATAGTGTTATTTATAGTAATATTACCACGCATTAATATTTATTTTGTAATAACCATTTTAATTAAAATGATGGTAATAATAGTACCAAAAATAATTCAATGAAGTTTATGATTCGAGGTCCCTCAGATTTTCCCTTTATAATAAATTTAGAATCTTTTTCAAAGATATTGTCTCGACTTTTTTGTTGTCATTTTTTTCACACAGTCCTCATACTATATGATTTGTCATAGGAGTGTGTTTTTGGTGTTTTCTCTACTCTACTCTACCTACTAAGTGGTAATAAATCCACCCTTCAAAAATTCAGTTGTGACTTTGAATGCTGTCCATCTCTTTGCTGTTGCATTCTCTACTATGATAATTAATTTTCCAGCTTCGATATCAGTTTATCTGTAGAAATTCTATTCAAACTCATAAGCTGCACCCCTAAAATTCTAAAAAAAAAAAGAGCAATAAGCGAACAATGAAAGATTTTTAAATGGAATTCCGTATTTAATCCTCACTATGTCGTACCTTTCACACACACACACACGAACATACACCAGCACACATAGATACAAAGATATGCTCTTAACTAAGCCAGCCTTAGACTTGGTATTGCTGCCGCTGCTGTTGTTGTAATTCATCACCTACAAATCAATCATTTTGACGAACCTAGTCGTTGGGCACTAAAACGATGAAAATGAAAAGAAATGAAGAAAAGCGAGAGAGAGAGAGAGAGAGAGAGATAGAAACGTATGCGTATAAAATGTAAAAAGCAATGCACACACAATAGATCAACGCTATCAAAGAACAGAGCCGGGATCGGGACTGGGACTGGGATCGAGGCCGAGCCCTGACATGGCCTGGCCATAGAGCGTATAGATACTCTTAGCCACAAACGCTGACCTTTTAACACAACATCGCAGCGAGATGGAAGCCTGTCTGAACTAATTGTCCGGCAGTATTCGAGTTTCGTTTCTTGTCAGCCTTTGCGCATGCGCATGAAACATGTTCATAGATAGACCTTATAGAGATTGATATTTGTATACCTAGGTGTGTTTGTGTGCATGTGTGTGTGTGTGCATTGCATTGGCACTTAATTTGTTGTTCTTGTCTGCAGCGTTGGTGTGAGATTACGCATTTTCCATATGACCGCACAAAGTAGTAAGCTGTTTGATACCCTGTAAATTGCAGCTGCTCCTTATTGAAATGCAAAGAATTTAAGATTAAACCCCTGACTATGCAAATTGTAAGCTGAAAGGGAAATATGTATTTATTTTCTTGAACCAAATAAATGATTTAATGGAATATAATATAATGCGATAGAATATTATATACCATGATCGAAATTCTTTTTTTTTTTTTTTTATGGGTTTATCAATTGGGTTTCATTTGAATATGAAATCGTAAAGCCTCTATATCAAAGTTCTAAAGCTTCTTTTCTTGAAATATGTCTTTAATATATGTAATTTATAAAATAGTAATTTAGTAATCCAATATTACTATTATGAAAATATTAAATATTGTTGATGTTCTAATAAGTTCCTTTTAAACATTTTCTTCATATTTGTTCTCCAATCATTCTTTTAATATAAGTAAATTTTGATTAAAATCGTGCTTTATACAATTTCCTATTTGTAATTTATAACAAATAAATGAATAAATGAAAGACTAATCTCAAGTACATTTGTAATGCCAAATACATCACGTAACGTGTGTCACGTAGATGATAATACTAAGAAAGCAATAAACTATATGATCTAACAATCCTAGCTGTTGAGTAAAACAAATGTCGAAAGTATAGAAATATAAATGGCATTAATAAACATGAAACTAATTTGAAGATTTCTAGAAAACAACGTAATGTCACGTAGTGCAGATCTTAAAAATCAATTTCGCTAGAAATTATACAAAATGTATATAGAATAGATATATATATTACTTATATAACTAGTGAAATTTTTGAATGCATGATATGCAACCCGGCCTCCAGTTTGAATACCTTTTATGGCTAATCTAAAGGGTATTACGTAGGTCTACATACGTAGATTGATTAGTTTCGTTGCTGCGTCTTGTTGCAGCTATTTTGACGAATTCCTCTGGTTCGGTCTGGTCTGGTGATCCTTTAGAATTCGTCTCTGTTGTCTTGTCTTGTCTTGGCGTAGTTTACAATGCTCTTTTGATTAGGCTGCGGACAGTCGATGGAGGTGGCCCGGTCTGGTCTGGTCTGGCCTGGCCTGGCCTAGCCTGGGTACGTGATTGGTATTATTCATCACTTGTCCTGTGCGCCTATCTGCACAACGCTTATCAGAATTTGTTTAGGCATTTCGTATGTTCTCTCTGTGTATGTGTGTGTGTGTTTTTTTTTTTCTTCTTCGACCTTTTCGTGCGATGTTTAATTTAAATTTTAAGTATGTCTCTCAGGTAGTCAGCGGATCCGAGTAGATTGTGTGCGCGAGTTGCTTATCTAAAACAGGTAGAATCTATTTTAATGGAAATTCATTTATTTAGTTGTTTGGCAGCAACAGCAGCCAATAGCCAAAAGCCAACAGCAAACAGCCAACAGCAGCAGGAAGTGGCAGGAACTCGTAAAACGTGTTCAGTCTACCAAGGAACGTATAACAATTAAAAAATTTATAATTGAATTTATGGCAATTTTGCTACGGCTGCATTGAAATTATGAATAGCTTTTGGCAAATGCACAAAATATTTGCAGGACTTTTAGCCAAGCTCCGGCCCACCCCAGCCCACAATCTCCCGCACACAGCCCACAATGGGCAACTGGCAATTTTTAGGGCCAACACCCAAAAAACTTTGGATCCCTTACAATGCAGTCGATAAGTATGGCATAAGTACAATTCATTCGACTCGACAAACATACTTACAGTCAGTCAGTCAGGCGGGCAGGCGGATGGATGAGTGGGTGAGTGGGTGGCCCGGGCCATACGACTCAAGAGCTTCCCATCCACACCGAGGCAAAGAAAACCATGGCAAACCAACTCAACCCAACCCAACCCAGCCCAGGCCAACCGAACCCAACTCAACTCAACGCAACGCAACCAGCAAGACAAACTCAGCAACGGACCCGGGACTCATTGTCGGTCCCAGCTCGGGCGGGCGCACAGCTGTTTGAGAGAAAATAGTCATTGTAATAAGAAAATTTTGATTTCATTTTTAGTATTTGTATAAAATTTAATAACGCCGCACAAGATGGCTGACTGACTGACTGACTGGCTGGCTTGGCTCGGCTCGTTGTTGTTGTTGTTGCCGCCAGAGTTGAGCAGCGGCAGTGAGCAGCGACGTCAAAGTCGACGCTGACTTTGCTGTCGCAGTCGCAGTCGCAGTTGCTATCGCCGTCGCCGTCGTCGTCACTGACGCTTGCCGTAGGGTGTGCAAGCGGGCAACTAAAACGCTTAAAACACACAATCTCGTTTGGGTTCGGTCGGGATTTCGGGGTTACGCTTAAACTCTAAGTACATTTTAACTTAACTGCCTTTTTTTGTGTTAGTTGCGACGACGTCGTCGTCGTCGTCGTCGCAGTCCAATGGCAGTGACAGAGGAGGAGAGCGCGTGAGAGTGAGAGAGAGCGAGAGCATGGCGAATTCGTAAGGCAAGAAGGCAAGCCAAAAGGATGATGATGAGGATGATGATTGAGGGCCGAATAAGAGCTTCAGAATGAGCATGAACAAGACTGTGGGGAATGGAGGGAGGTAGTTGAAGGGGAAGTAGAAGTGGCAGGAGAGGTGGCTGGCTGGCACTGGTGGAAAGGGTGGCTGCGACTGCTGGTGGTAGTTTGAGATTTCTAACTGTGTGCGCAGCACAATTATAAATTTTTGGAATTGTTGTAATTTAGTTTTGTTTGTTTGCCTGTTTGTTATGTTAGAATGTAGTACTTATATTTCTCGCAATGTATGTACGATTGTGTGTGTGTGTGCTTGTGAGTATGCTGTGCACAAGTGTGCGCCGTCTGCTGGCTGTTGGGCAAAACTTGCCTAGGCTGCGGCTGCTGATTATTACGATAAAGCATAATGATTACAGTTTTAGTAGCTTTCATTTTGCGAGTGAGAGTGGGAGAGTGGGGGAGAGCGAGAGGGAGAGCGAGTGCGAGTGTGAGTGCGATGGCCAATGCAGCATGATTGAGCGAGAGAGAATGCCTTGTAATTGTTGTTCAGCTCAAAGCAGCAGTTGAACTTTTTCTTGTTCTTATTGCGGGATTTGATGGTATGGGATTTGGTTGGGCTGCGTTGGACTGTGTTGGACTGGGTGGAGGGTTGCTTGGGCTGCTGTTGCTGTTCACATAGCACGGACCGATGACGTCGGAGAGGGGTGTTCAGGGAGTTAACGGCATTGGCTTGCACTTGATTAATTGCGATTTATGCGCTGCGCTGCGGCTTATATGCGATATATGTTAGACTTTTGTGTAATTATGGATAGCTGTAGCAATAACGGCTGCAACTTGGTTCACATCATGAGGGTTAGTTACTCAATGCAGCGCAATTGAAATGTGAGTCTGTGTGTGTGTGTGTGTGTGTGAATTAAAAAGGACACTTTATAGCGACGATTATATTTTAGGATAGAGAATAATGAAACAAAGTGCACACAATGCTACTTACTTAGGGGTGCCAAAGCCCGCACTCTAGCACGCTCAAACTTATGCTATATGTTAAATATACGTATATATGTATATGCGTCTGCATATGTATTTGTGCAGCTGTGATTTTAAAAATCTATTCCCACAAGTAAATAATGTAAAACGAGATCGGTGCAAAAATTCTTAGCTGCAGAGCAAACGTCATTGCCTTGCCATAAATGTAAAAATTGTTTGCATATTTCGCTTGGTAGTGATTGTGGGTGCCGGAGCGAGAGAGATAGAGTGAGAAGAGTGTGCAGCGCGCCGCAGGGCGAGGTGCAACGCTTGTTCTTATTCCCACTACAAGCGTAGAAACGTACATGTGTATGTACATGCATACATACAAACATACTATATTTTTGCCTTTTTGTTTTGCTTGGCTCATTTGGCAAGCAACACCAATGTGCACACCCACTCATAAGCCCAAGCACATGTACGCACACACAGGCATCGTAACTCAGCGTCTGCAAGAGCGCAATAACCCATACAAGTGTATGTGTGCATGCCAAAAGAGAGCGGGACCGAGCAAGAAAGAGAGAGCGCGCCTTAGCTAGACATAAGTTGGCAATGGTCCAAGCGGCGGCATTGCAAAGTACGTTAAAATTCAAGCTAAACAATCGCCGCTATTGTCATTACTTTTGGCCCACATTCAAATGGCCAAGAGAGAGCACAGGCAGCAAAGAGCAGTGCACATTTATAAACGTTCTCTTTGCGCACAGCGTAGATTCCCTTTAGAGATGAACGCCCAACCTGTAAACGATAGCATTCGATATATCTTGTTAATGCTTAACAAATTATGCTGCAGTAGCAACTACACAGACACACTAAAACGAAGCATGAGCGCGCGACACGCTCTCAGCTCTAGTTCCATGCTCCGTTTCCTTTGCTGTCGCTGTCGCCGTCGCTGCTACTGAGCTGGTACTGGTTGTTGTTGTGATTCCAGAGAACGAGAACTTCGTGTGTAGCACGTCGCATTGTCGGCTTTTGTTCGTGCTCTTTGCCTTCGGTTCGTCGTTGTTGTCGGTCGGCATCTTCGGCTGCTCTTGTGTATGAATGTGTTTGTGTGCGTTTGTAATTGATTTTATTAGTTTTTGGTTTTTGTTGTGTGTTTGCTGCTGTCGACGCTAGAGTTGACGCGACGCTGCTGTCGGCGCTGCCGCTGGCGTCGCTGTCGCTGCTAGCAGCATTGATGAATTTTAAAAAATTTTGAATTGCCCGCCCTTTAGTCATTGACTAAACGTGCAGCAGTGCGAACACGAGCGCGCGCAGCGGCATACCCGGCTTCGGCTACATTGTTGCATACTCTATAATAATTGATATATATCCAAGTCAATACAATAATATCAATACACTTAAATATATTTATATATATATACTTATGTGTACATGTGTATTAAACATAACGCTGACAATATATATGCACATATATCGGCAATTGTAATTAGCGCTAAACTTAATTTGTTTATTATTCGGCACGCGCGCAACGGACAGACAATTTGAACAAAGTGATAAAAACAACTATAGTAACAACAATAACAGAAACAACAACAACAACTGCAACAACAGCAACAAGAAATCCAATAAAAATTGCAGCAGCTGCAACGTGCAAACATTTGAATATGTGCTAAAAGTGAAGAAATATAAAATACATATCTAAAATAAATCTAATAAACATTTCAACCTTTGAATTCTTGCTGGGATTATAAACGTGGATAAGCCAAGCCAAGCCAAGCCGATACAAAATGGTAAATAACTCGAACTATTCATTCAAATATGGGCATAAGAATCAACAATAATATCTGTATTTATATAGTACATATACATACATGCATACATCCATACATATATAGTACAGCCAGAGACTGACTAGAATTTGTGATTCAGCGTCGCTAATTTCTATTTTATTGACAAAAAAATATTTTGCTTCGAGCAGACGAGGGGCGCTCCTTAGTCTTAGTCATTAAAGCAAAGTGTTAACTGAACAAGCCAAAGTATATGATATATACCCATGTATTATACAGCCATTAGTATAGCTGTCTTCGTGTATCAATGTGTGTGTGCTTGTGTGTGTGTGTGTTATATTATAAACAATTTTATGGCTCTGTCGCACGCATTCCCGCCCTCCCATGTACGCCATGGCGTACATATAAATCGCTTTAATCTCTGCATATTAATTTTTATTTTTTTATTTCCGGCGATTTTGATTAAGCACAAAACTATATAAGGAGCCGTGATTTAAGCATCCACATATTTTCACATCTCTTTATTATTTGCTCGAAATCATTTTCATAAAGTGCAAGTGACGTCTAAAGAACTTCCGCTTTCTGTATAAACTATGCATCAATACACTGAGCAAAATTGCCAGGTAATTTCGATTTGTATTGATTTGAGTTACTTTGTTTTTGTTTGCTTCTCTTTTCTACATGCATTTTTCATTGTAATTAATCCTTATAATGCTAGAGAACATTAATTATAATTCTACTTCCTGAAGTCAATCTATAGCTGTTGTAATATCGTAATATAATATAATATATATAATATGTAATATAATATTTTCTTTATTATAGTATTTGTTCTATATGATTTAGGATGTTTTGCTATAAGTAATGTTTCCTATAGAAAGATTTAATTGTAGTTCTCTAGCAAGTATTGCTATAACTGTGATCGTATTTAGTTTCAAAGATCCTCACTGTTCCCTATTTGTATTTAAGAGCCTACATTCTATTCAATGCATTACAAAGGGTATTTTCTAGTTGTATATTTCTTATAATTATTATAATGTAATATAATATAGAGATTCTTTTGCTTTTTCTCGCAGTTTTCTCTGATTTTCACACACGTTTCTTGCATTTCTCATTTTAGACTTTAGTTTAACCTCCTCAATATTCAATATATCGTCTATAAATATATTTGATTTTTTAGCCAAACAGTTTTAGAACTGTATTTATATATACATATGCAATATATGTGTGTGTATGTGTGTGCATATTACTTGCAGTTGCATTTAGAAAATCGCATAATTTGATTTTGGTTAGTTTACAAACGCATTTCGAATCGATTTCAATAATTCATTTCGGATAGTTTTTTTCTTCAGTTTTAAAAATCTCTCTGCACCATTTGCATATTGAGGCAACATTTTCTGTGTGTGTGTGTGTGTGTGTGTGTGTTGGACAAATATTCGCAATTTTGGCTCAATAGATAGAAATATATTTGGCACATTAAGAACAGACGAAGAGCTAGCCAAAATACAACTCATAAGAAATTATTATGATTATGATGTTGTTATAATTAGCGAAGAACAACAACAAAATGTGCAGAAGAAGCTGAAGAAGCAGAAGGCGAAGAAGAAGCAGCAGCAGCAGCAGCAGCAGCACGACTGAAAAGCGATTCATAATTATTCAAAAATTGACTTTAAACAGCCGCCGCAGTCGCAATCGCAATCGTGAAGATCTCACATACATAGGCATAGTACCCCTAACCCCCAGTAGTGCCCCAACCCAACCCCTGCTCATGCACAAATACACTCGCATATCTCTTTAGCTATAAAGATTTTAGTTATGGTTTAGGCAAACATCTTCTGG